TGGCAAGATAACGTGACACCTGTCATTTAACTGACGGAAGGATCATTTTGGTACCAAAAATAAAAGTTCAAGGATAATTTTGGTACTTTTTAAAGTTAAGGGACAATTTTGGTACCAAAGTGGATAGTTGAGGGACCAAAATGGTACTTAAACCAAAAAAAAATTAAGGAAGTCTATAATTTTATTTTTTAATTATATATAACTCTTAACCCTTACTATTTGAGAAAAATGAGTTTTTCAATTAATTAAATTATAAAAATTTCGTCTTAAATAGAAGTTACTAACAAACTTGTTAAATTATAACTCTATTTAAGAGCATGTCGCATGTCCAGCGCCGCTCTAATAATTTGTTATTTTGCAAAAATAGAACTGTCAAACACATCGGCATTGGAGCAAAAACGAGAATAGAGCCGGTCTCTCTGTGTAGAGGCTGACTATTATACATTTTTTCTGCCCATTTAATGGCCAAAACGGCGTCATTTTGGCCCTATTTTGCCACAAATTTTTTGACCTGCCTGATGCGCATCCGGCCGCACTGCCACTTTCTCAACCAAGCCGTTGGATTTTGAATCCAAAGGCTGGGATCTTTTTTTTTTTGTTCTTTCTTTTCAAAATTTTTTTAAATTCAAAGTTTATATTTAAAGGTAAATCCTAACTTGATCTCCCAATTATTATATAAACTTTTAAGTTGATATTAAATTAGAAAAATCTTGATTTGATCATTAAAATTTTTAAATTTAACTTTAAATTAATCCATCTGTTAAAAATAACTAATGTGTCTTGAAACTATTACTAACGTGATACGTGATTATTAAGTAACAACCTTTTATCCTCGAGTAATAGACATATTAGGTGTTTTTCAATGAAGGGATCAAATTATGAGTCAAATTTAAAAGCTTTAAGAAATAAATTAAGAATTTTTTTGGTTTAGAAACCAATTTAGATGTCCATCAATAATTAAGAGACCAAATTAAGATTTAGCCTTATTTAAATATATAAAATGTAAGTAAAATAAAATAATAGTAGTGTGATTTTTAAAAAGTTTTGTTTAGGAATATGCATTGGACGGATTTGTTTTGTTAATTGTTCTATTTGAAAATTAAATATGTAAAAATGTAAATTTATCTAAAATAATATTAATTGTAATTTTGTTACTTTAAAGTAAATTGTTGATTGTTTCTTATTGTATATGTTCCAAGTACCTATATATGTTTAACGTATTTAACTTTTGTTAATTTTATATAGTTAATAAAATAATTAAATTTATTCCATTAATCTAAGAATTAATATATATATAATTTATATAAATAAAATTTATAATCTAATCATACTTCATTTTTAAAAATATTAATTAAAATCTGAATTTTTATGCAGGTCCCTTCAAAACCTATTCTAGGCTACATTAACCCATTCATTCTTTCCTTCCTCAACTCGACAGTTCATCTCCATTCATTCCCTCCTCACTTCTTCGATTCTTCCTCTCCTCATTGATCTGATCTATCTCAGATTCTCACGATCTCTCTGTCTCCTCATCACTCTCCAGCTTTATAAGACTGGGTCGGTCGCTAGATCTTTCTCAATCTCTCGGCTACCACTCCTCTGCTTCTCTTCTCTTGGTCGACGGTTGGTAGCTGCTATCAGGTTTGTCCTTTACCCACTTCTAATGATGTCCATTTGACTGTATTTAGATTGGGTCTTGAATGTCTTAGGATTAGATTAGTTTTTGATTCTTTTGAACTGATTAGAAATGAGAATTAGATTCTGTGGACAAGAGAGAAGACGTGAGGTGTGGGGCTAGTCGGTTCTCGCTAAAGATTAATAAGCAATCTGATGAATTTACTCATAAACCCATTATTGCTCTTCTCGTTTTCCATACATTTTAAAAAAAAATTTCTTAATACAAGAGTTACCAGATAATGTGAGCCTCTTGTTCGTCTTCTTTCTTGGTTTTCTGTGTTTGCATGTTGCATTTTGAAGGTTTTGATGCTACTGGGGATTTTTTTATCTTTGGAGGGATTGAAGAAAGAGAAAGTTCGAAAACTGAGTGCTGTTAATGGTAGAGGAAGTCTGGGCAAGGAAGAACGTGAAATGGGTTGTTTTGATGTGTCTGATAGAGAAATTTAATTGTTAATATAAGAGTTGGAGTTAGCAGTTTTTTTTCACAGGGACATCTTTTAGTACACTTTCGCGGGACTCCTCATTCCCTGAAGGGACGGGTGTGGGGATCCGTTGACATCCATAGATTTGGGGTCAATTTATATGTTTACTAATGGTAGCCTTCACACTAAAACAATAAAGAGACTTATAAAATAAAAGATAAATAGATTTTTTTGTAATAGATGAATAATTAAAGTTAATAATATTTGTCTAGATTAAAAAATGTGACAATTAATTCGGGGCAATCTAGGGAGTATTGTTTGTTGGTGGGTTTCCAGTTTTTCATGACCTTGATAGCAAATTTGAGGGGTTAGCTGCTGCTACTGTGAAGTTATCTAAACTAAAGACGCGAAATTTATTTCATTTTTTTTTATTTATATGTAAAGAATATATCTGATTATTATTTGTTTTAAAGATAAAGACTTAAATTGCCCAATTAGGCTGATTTGGTTTATGTAGCATAATTTTGCTAAGGAATCTGAG